AATCAAGTAGAAAATTTTGCACATTCTGAGAAAGAATTTGTGTTTTTCGAAAAAACGACACTCTTCGAGTACTTCGTATTTTTCGACCGGAAGGAAGTATTTACTAAGGCTAAGAAGTAGTTTTTCGTGATCAGCAGTTCAAGCTCTTTCAAATACTGTAAAGAAACGCAGAAAAAAAATTTTACTGAAATTTAGCATTGCCTGCACCTTACTAAATTACACACCTTTTTCTTCCGTTGACGATTAATGATCGCTTCTTTTTTTCTTGAAAGTTCTACTTGGTTTCTTCTTTTAAGTCTTGATTATAGGTCTCCATGTAGAAAGAGCTGGAGGAACCTAGCTCTCATCATCTAATCTTTACGTTGTGTCCCTCAAAATTATGATTTGTTTCTTGAAAAGTGTGTGCCAAGTTTTGCAAGACAGCTTTTCTCAGTCACTTTCTTCCAGACAGACTATCTTTGAGTATCTGTTTAATCTTGACCCCCATCCATTTTTGAAAGCGATAGAGACCTCTAGTTTAATGTTCTGTTCAGTTATTTTTCTTACTAGATAAATGGATTGTCTTTCGTTTGATTACGCCATCTAGCTCTTCCTCCACTGTGCAATGGTTACCTATTTGAACCAACCATATTTTCTTTCTCTTCTATCGTTGCTACGAAAGACAAGCAGGCAGTGTATGCTTTTCACTTATTCATTAACAGACGATGCATGCTATGTAGAGGTACTGAATTCCGTCTCGAGAAATTTGATGTTGATTCAATATTTGCAAAAAACTGAAGTTGAAGGACGGATGAAGAGAATGTCTTCGCACATCCATCTACACCATTTCACTTTCAATTAGAGTCCATAGTTACATGGTAGGAATCCAATGATTATGGTCATTCATCACTCTGGCGTCACCGGTGCATTCCTAGTTACATGTGAATCACTGGGCTTGTTGGAATTGCTGAGTAACTTTTATTTGCATCCTTTTGTGAGTATATAGCCCTAGAAAAGTAATTTTAGGCGGTTTTTTAGATCTATCATTATCATAAAACACGTTAAAAATAAAAAACAAATTAAATACAATGAAGGTATGCCTAATCATCAGACTTTCATAGATTGAATATTGCCGTTGTCTCGCCTCAATTGACTGTTTAGACTTCTCATTATTATAGAAATAATTCTCTTTAGTATTCTATGTATTTTTCTTCTATGTTGCGTTTAAGTACTGATGAATAATAAAAGTATAAGGCAAGCACATTCATTGAGAAACTTTTCATTGGTGTTTTTTTTTTCTGTTTAGCACTTTCCTTTTTATTTCAAGTTTAGTATTTCGATGAAATAAATTTTTCAAAAATGTAAACACGTATGGGCGTACAGTATGGCATTCTCTATCATGCTAAATTGTTAAAATAAGAAAAAAAAAGACATAGTTGAAGCATTTAGCTTTTTAGAGCTTGTCAATGAGTATACCTAAGTAATACCCACAGTATTCGTCAGAACATAAATATAAAATATAGCAAAACTATACAGATTGATAGACGAGTTCAAGCTCCATAAGAGTTTATTCTCATAAGAGTAAAAATCTTGAAAAGTTTGAAAAAAAAGTGAAAAATACAGACTTATGATATTAGTCAAGTGAAAATGCATACAATGTGCTGAAGTTTTCTTGCCGTTTTGTTTTCGAGAACTATTTCTCTAACCATGGTAAATCTAAAAAGAAGTCAATTGAGAATACAACGACAATATTCAATTCGTGGAAAGCTGACAATGAAGGTTTCCTTCATCGCAGTCGATTCATTTTCCAGTCAATAGGCGCAATTTGTAACATATAGATACAGGATGATAGAAAGCTTCGAATGCTTTCAGAATATATAATAATTTTTTTTTAAATATGTTTTCATAATGACAATAAATTCAAAAAATCGATTAAAACTATTGTTTCGAGTGTAAATAATAACACGATAGGACGAAAGAAACATCAATCTGTTCATTAGATTTTTTGTAGAAAGATTTTCTAGGCTTTAAATGGGTGGTCCCGGTATAATTGATGGTAAAGAGCATCCAGAAACAGATAATTTTCTTCCATGTAAATTTGTTATTGATGGAATAACATATTCATCAGCCGAAAATTATTTTCAATGTGCTAAAACAACAAATGAACAAGATCGAAAAAAGATTTTGAATGCAGGACCAGGTGATTCATGTCGATTAGCTGGACAAACGATTCAATTAAGATCAGATTGGGAATCGATTAAAGTCGATGAAATGTATAAAGGAAATTTAGCAAAATTTCAACAAAATGAAGATTTAAGAAAACCTCTATTAGAATCTGGTACAGGATCCGTTCATTTTACATTATCAACACCTTTTTGGAATCATTGGAATGATCTTATCATGCAAAGAATTCGAGCTGAACTACGTCAAAACGGCGAAGAAGACGCTCATCGTGCAACAGAAATTCGTCAAGCAATGGAAAAATATGCGCAGGAGAATAAATAATTTCTTTTTTTTAATATACGATTTATAATTATTTTTTTATTCAAGAAAGTTTATTAAAGAAAAAGAAGCAAATCAGAATCTTGATCAACTTGAATAGTGGAAGATGTAACAACGATACTTCTATAGATTTATCAATCGCAAAAGACGCAAAGATTTACGAAATTTTTTGTGGCATATACCACTTTGTAGGGCTTTTCAGGCTAATCTTTTAACAATGAATGACAAAGTTCGGGTTCAAATACTAAAAAGAATGAAATTCTATTTGTCTGATAGGTTAGTTTGATGTTCTTCGGTATGTTCATCCTAATACCGCCATTTGTTGATGAAAATAGAAAAATTTACATGGCGAAATGATTACCATAAAAAGTTCTATAAAATATGATAGGTCATAGGAGTTGAAGATCTTTCTGATATTTCCTTCCTTATTATATGTAGACGTAGTCATATAAAAAATGGTAGAACTAACTCAAAATGATTATATTGCAAAACTATACGATATGTAGGGTTTTTTTTTTACAATGAAGCGTCCTCTGGAAAACCCTCTTTACATATTTAATATTCCAGATCGAGTCGACCATGAACAGTTCTTTCAATCATTTAAATATAAACTTTGAACTGATTTAAAATAGGATACGATACTGGAATTCACAAGTTTTGAATAATGCTAGAGACTGCAATTAGAAAATTAATCGAATTAGAACATTTGTTTTGGAGAAGAAATATGTTTGATATTTTATTTTGTTCAGAAAAAGATTTGATTTGTTCATTTTTCATAAATGCTGAGATCATAAATAATCATTTTTCAATATGATTCTGCCACAAGAATTAAGATCGATGTGTTATGGTGAAATAAATACTACGTATTTATAGAAATCAACTAAGTTCTATATGAAATATATGTGCATGTTTGTTTTCTGCGAGTGTTCAATCAATTCGCATCGTTAGTTGATAACTAAATAAAACCCATGGATTTCATTTTCATTGATTTCTCCTTATTTCGAATCTTTTTGAGTGCAATAATGACATATCAATGAAGAATTCAAATTGAAAGAATAATAGGACCGTACTATCAATACTCGGTATTTATATAAAAAACGCAATATTTTTCACTGGTGACTTGCTAACTGCTCGAGTTTTATATAACCTAAAGTCGGAAAGAGCCGTCTATGATAACATCAATGATAAAAGATGTGTATTTATCACTGTTCGTTGAAAGGAGAACTCCAAAATAGCTAGAAATTTTATTAAGCCTGCTGAAAAAAATCAAGCGTTGTCAAATAAATCATATTTTTAAAAAACGTATGGTTAAATATTCCGATGTGCAGTTTCATAATCATTTGTAACTTTGAATCATGTCCCTATTAAAAGTGAGCCTTTTGCTGCAAAAGACGACTTTTCGTCTTAAAAAATCATTTTTCTTCTAATAGTTGTCCAGTAACGCATCTTCACTAATATTATAGCATAGTAAGAGATCAATTCAAATATTTTTTTTGAATAAAATTTTATCTTAATTTGTTATTTCTTATAAAATTTCTCAGCTTTATCAAGAACTTTTCAAGCGATGTATACTCCAAGACTGGCGTTAGAAGCAAATAAAATGAAGGATGACAAGAGTTATTAGATTTCATTGTTTTCTATGAAATAAAGTAAAAAGAATAAAATTTTTCTGTCCAGTTGACTGAATGTTCTTGAAGATGCAATAGACATAAAATACGAATTTTAGAGATGTCTTAACAGTGCTTTAGTTTCCACTAAGAATGAGATATACAGCTGATTAACTGTTGTGATTTTCTTATTCTTTCTCTTGGCTATTCTATCTTTCGAAGAAATCGCTCTTTCAAAATTCATATTGGGATACTAAATAAAAAGTGCTTGATATATTTAAATAGGATACGGAATAAAATAGCTATTCACTTAAGAAAATTGACAATAAGTAAACAGATAAGTGTTTAGTAAAAGTATAACATTATAAAATTCTCTTACATATCTTTATTCATTATCTTTATCAACTTTTTCTATTCTAAATTTCTATATCTTTTGACAGTGAATCATATTTTCATAGAGACTTAATCGAAAATTTAGAAATAAAAAAAAATATAAGAAATTGCAAGCTTTCGGTCTTATGCATAGGTCAAATTAGATAAAAAAACAAAGCACAATAGGAAATAAAACTATAGAAATACACAATAAATAAGGAATCATTTGTTTGTAAATGACCTATATATAGTGTCGAAGGTCACGATTTTCTTGTATGTTGTTACTTGTAAAGTTTAAATTAAAAGAATAAAATCATTTTCGAAGCAGTTCTATACCTCATCTTTTTAAAAGTGATAAGAAGCGTGATTTTGATTCAGACCTGCCATTTCAAATAGTTCATTGGGTTGAATAAAAATTCACTCTGAAAAATCGACAATAAATAAATAGCTGAATGTCAATTACATAAATAGAAATAATCATTTAATGATGCTGATAATCTTTATATAGAAGTTGGGATTAAATAGCAATCGACTTAGAGAGATTGACAATAAGTGGATAATTGAATATGCATTAAATAGCTTAAAATATTCATTAACAAGTGTTGTAAATATATAAACAGTGCTTGAAATGAAATATCTATTCACTTAAGAAAATAGGCAATTCATAAATAGATGAGTGTTCATTAAAAGTAAGTATACCAATACAAATTTCTCTTATGCATTTATGCTCACTAGCCATATGAACTTTCTCTCGACAAAGATTATATTTCTTTTGGAAAGGAGCCATTAGAAAACATTCAAATTAGTATGTTTACTGTTATGTAGGTACAGATGATAACTTTATCAAAGTAGAAACCTCCAATACAAACATATCGAAACAACAAACAGTTTTAATAAACGTGAGATGAAATTTTATAGAAGCTTCCTTTTTTCTACGACAATTCTCGTGATGATCTCTGCTAGAAGTCCAGAAAGTGTATACTATTAATGCAAATTAATGCTCAGTAAGAAATAGATTCAGTGTTTGACACTAGTAAATTTTCCTCTTTTCTTTTAGTTTATTTACAATGGAAAATAATTTAATTGATCAAAAGTCAGTAACGTTTCATATCTCGATAAGATACTTCTTCAGACAATAAACTTATGACAAACGATTCAACATGCAAATCTGTTTTCATTCTTTTCTTAGTCACTCTTTTGATAATACTACGGAAAAAAAAGACGATCATAGTGATAGCTAGATTGCAGTGTAGTTCTTTTTCCATATTACTATCAAAAGAAAACAGATTTATTTGTATGTGGAAGCATTTGTCTTAAATTAATTGTCTGAAGAAATATCTCATTGACATACAAAACCTTACCAATCTTTTGTCAATTAAATAATTAATTATTATAAATAAAATAAAAGGAGAATTGACTTATGTCAAATATAAAGTCAACCTCCTTATCAAGACAAAAACATATACTTCAAATAACAAAATTAATCATAAACAACTTCAGTATCGAACTATACCAACTGAAGAATTCTTTCTGTAGACTATCTTGTTGATCACTAATTTTTGTCAGTGAGCTATGATCTACCACCACACAGGAACACTCAATAACTATCTTAGAGTCGCCTGAAATTTGATCTATCTTATAGAGCAGGATGTTTTCATCACAGATTCAAATTTCTAACCGTACGAGAGATTTTCTTGCAAAATACTTTATTAGGGTCTTTCGAGAAGTTTTTAAACGGAGTCTTGTAAGAATTGTATAGGACTAGAATAGAAAATCATCTTTTTGATAGATATTCTCCAAAGAAGTAAGGAGGATATCAGTCAGATATTTTTCCAAGCAGGACAAAATAGGGACTAGTTGAACAGACTCGCCCATGGATTGCGTACACTGATTCTTAAGCTTGGTGAACTGATCATATAGTCATCACATATGGACATTATTAATTAGTTATAAATTTTATTTGTTACTAACGTGATATTCACATTATTATCTCATACCTGTGCGAAGTATATACTTTGAATATTAGATAATACAGATGAATCTATGACAAATTACAGTGTAAAATAATCATTTGCTCGAGTGTCAATCGTATTACTAGATAGAATCATCTTATGCTTGTCTCCTCATAGAAATAATCTTCGATATCGATAAAAATTACTTTCTTTGCCAAAAAGACATGCTTTTGAACCATCTTCAAAAAAAACCTGCAAAACTCACAAAACATTGACCAATTGGTAAAGAAGACGTTGTCCATATCGACTGACGTCAGAATAAAATCTCTTGGATTCGAACGGGTCGTTTAGTTTTATCAGCTATAACTAGAGTTAAGGGGGAACCCCCCCTCAGAAACTTATCTTCTAAACGGTTCAAGAGATTTCGATGAAAATTTCAGGAAATAGAAAAGCTAATGTAACTAGCATCTGATAAAAATTTGAACCAATCATTTTTGATAATTGAGGAGTTATACTCAGTTTACTCATGAAAATGGGGCTTTTGGCACGGAACATTTTCCCGAGGCACGATAGCATGGAAAATGTTGAAATTTGTTTCAAAATGAAGAAAAATCTTTTATCTAGAAATTGTTGGGACAGTTTTTTGAAATTCATCTTTGTTCAATAGTAGTGATCAATTTAAATCGAAAATCGAAAAAACTGCTTTGATCTCTTTCAAAGATTTTCTAATATCTGAACAACGGAGATATATTTTAGAAATCTGTTCCCACAATTTCTAGAAAAAAGTCTTATCTTTTGAATAAAAAAAATATCAGCAGCGTACGTCAAACAGTGGACTGGGAAAATGTTCCGCAGTGATCAGTAAGCGATAAAAAAGTGAAGCTGAGAAAAACGAATAACAACATTGCGAAGTAGTTGATGATGTTCCTGTGTAGAAAATTGGAGCATATTATATATCATTGGAAAGTGTGTAAAAAGGTCTTCCAGTTGATGATGCTTTCAAGAAAAAATTAAGCTAATTTCTAAATCCAAGTTTACTGTAGCGCCACCTTTTCGAAAAATAACCTAATTT